TTTATTCACTATCAACCTTGTATGCGTCACAAATGCAATGCAAGGGGGGAGAATGTCAGGGCAATAGCCCCAAACCCCGAGTCACATGTAAATTAGATACATATAGTCACGTGGGCAAGTGGGAGCCTCCGGGTAACTGCTTACACACCACCGTAAAATACACTATCTTGTATCACTTACGGCCTTGTGTGCTGAGCCACCCTAAGACCTCACAAGGATCCTGCATATATAAGACCCTTGGTGGATTGTGATACGCCTCTTTTCCCTCTCCCGATATATTTGGATCCCAACAATAATGCGGGGTTCTTCTCCTTGGTCCGTGGTTTCCCATTTTTCTGCGATTTCCTGTTTATTTTTCTCTGTTCTTCCCTTTGTGCAGAATAAGGCAAAGTCATCGACCCACAGACTAAATATGTCAAAGATCTGTGGTGATTCTTGTCGGATGTAAACACAATAGTCAGCGTTAAGGTGTCTGTATCCCAGGGATTTAAGGTGAGTGTCGAGAGTTTTGTTCCATGCATGCCCGGATTGCTTGAGGCCATATAGGGCATGGAGAAGCAAACACACTCTTGAGGTGTCGTCCCTAAATCCCTCTGGCTGCTCCATGTAGGTGGGCTCCTCCAGTTCCCCATATAAGTAGGCGCTTTTCACATCCAGCACACTCATCTCGAGGTCGCATATGGCAGCGATGGCAATTAGGTTCCGGAGGCAGTCTAGACGCATAACAGGGGCGAAAGTCTGGTCAAAATCCTGACCTGGGATTTGGGAATAACCCTTAGCAATGAGGTGCGCTTTGTATCGAGTGGGGTTGCCATCAGCATCGAACTTCATGGAGAATACCCATCTGCACCCCACCGGTTTCCTTCCCAACGGTAAGCTCACTAGTTTCCATGTTCCCATTCGCTTCAGCTGATTCATCTCTTCTCCCATTGCCTCCTTCCATGATGTCCACTCCGGTGATTTTTGCGCTTTGGCCAGGGTCTGCGGTATTCCCAGTGTTGCCGATTGACATGTAAGCAGTGCAAGCGCAAACGATGCAACTTCTTGCTGCACTCCTGACTCAAGTTCTTCAGTGCCTGGGGGTGGTTTGGTCAACTGTTGTGACCTTTCAGCTGGTTTCCGGGCAGCTGGGTTGTTAATGAGTTTGTAGTCAAGGTTCTTTCTTGGGTGCAAGGCTGAGCATCGTTCTGTTGGGTTTGGAGTAGTGGAGGTTGTTTGGGTTGGCGCTGGCAGATCTGGTGTCTGGGTTTTGGGTTGTCCACCAGGTAAGTGATTGGGTTTCTCATCCTCTATCCCCTCTTCAATTGCGGGCTGATTTTGTCCAGTTTCCCCCCCACTTGCCACTTTGTCATTGCCACCATTCTTCTCCTTCAGTCCAAATATGTCTGAGATCCCCTCTACATCCACCATCTCCGTCTCCTCACCCCGTCCATCCAAGAATTTGTAATTCCATGATATCATGACTCAGCGCATGGCTGTGTCATAATATCTGATTGCCCATGGTCCATCCTCAAAACCTACAAAGGTCCGTTTGACTGCCTTGGGATCAAGCTTCGACTTGGAGTGGGTTTCATCGAGTACATATACATCACATCCAAATGGGCGAAGGTGGGAGACAGTGGGTTTCTTGTTGAACATGGCTTCATATGGTGTTTTTCCCGTGAGGGCCGTTGTCATCGTGCAGTTTCTGATGTAGGCTGCATGGTTGACCGCTTCTGCCCATAGACTTTTGGGTAGCTGTGCATCAATCAGCATCGCGCGCATTAATTCCACTAATGTCCGGTTTGGGCGCTCAGCCACTCCATGCTGCTGGGGTGAGTATGGTGCCGATGCTTGCCGTTCGATGCCTCTCTCATCTAGCCACTCCTTCAGCCCATTTCCCATGAATTCCCCACCTCCATCAAACCTGGATGCTTTCACAGTTCGTCCCAGCTGCATGGATAACCATTCAGCATATTCCTTTACCTTCTGAGCCACATCCGACTTTGCACGTACAAATTTAATGGTGATGTAACGTGAGTAGTCATCTACCAGGGCCACATAATATAGGCTCTTGCCCACACTTTCCACTCTGGCTGGACCCCAAACATCGGAGTGTGTGAGGGCTCCTGGTTCATTTGCCCGGGTGGCTCCATATTTCGGGTAAGGTGTTCTTGACAACTTGGCTGCAATGCATGCTTCACATTGGAAATTCGGGTCGCTCTCTTGATCTACTCTTATCCCCATTGTCATATCCATGCATACCCGACCCCGACCCGACTTCCAGACCTCCACCCTCTTCACCTCCGGAGTCATAACCTACCGCTGCCGTTCCGATACTCACCTTCGGTCCTAGCAACACCACCTCCTTCTACCCCCCCACACCACCTCTACTCCTCCTTACCTCTCCGACCCTATCTCTGTCCGCTCCGATACTCACCTCGGACCGAACACCGCCCCTCTCGCCACCCTCCTACTACTCCTCCTCCTCCTACTCCGCTCCCCCTTCACAACACCTCCACCCTCCCGTCATCCTCCTACACTTCCCCTGTCCGCTCCGATACTCACCTTCGGACCTGACAACCCTCCTTTCTGCCACTCCTTCCCCCTTACCTTTCCCCTCTCTCCTCCCTCTGGTACTCCTCCGCCACCCTTCCACCAAGTTACGACCTTCCACCGCTGTCCCGTACTTCATACTCGGACACCGCTCGTACCTTTGCTCCGAGCCTCCATCATAGTCCCTACCTCGGACTTTGACTCCACCTCGGTCTTAGTCCATTGCATTGGTGACCTCATACTACGTAAACACCATTGCCAATATCCCTCAGACTTTCAACCCCACCTCCGTAACCTCCGTAACCTCCGCAACCCCTGAGCTTCGTGGATCGCCTTCGGCACTTTCGCCGCTTGTAATGTATCTCTCGCATTTACCCCTCATCCCTATTTGGACTACTGCTTCTTCCCATTCTAGCCGGTTAGTCATCACCCCCACTTCTCCTCATCCTCCTGCCCCTCTGGGTCTTGCCCTCCCTACCTCCTTTCGGACGTATCACAGGTCCTGCCTTATGACCTTCAGTACCGCTCCGCTCCTTCTTCCCTTTGTTCCCGTTCAGACGTCTTCATTCCGATTCAGTTCCCCTTTGTTTCCTTGTGCTCTTGCCCCCTCCATTATATATATCGGCGCTTGTACATACTCGTTTTGGTTCAGTCCGAAATCGACCTGAAATGCCCCCTAGAGTGTTATGGATACGGAGTCTCAAACGACCATATCCATCACATGGTCAAAGACTTCTCCTCATTATCGTTCCTCCCCTTTTTCTCCCTTCCGTCCTCTATCCCGATACCCCATCCTCCTTATCCGCTCTACCCCTTTCCCCCCCCCTCGTGCAAAGCTTTCCCCAACTGGGGTTTTGGTGCTGGCCGAGGTTATTTGTGTTTCGCGGGATTTCCCGCGACCTTACCATTTGTAGATAGTCACGCGTCTTGTACGGAAACCGCCGAAGGCGGTTCCCGCTAACTAACAACTGCTCTACAACTGTCTCGTGTACCGTCTTCTGTAACAACCCTCCCTGTGACTCAACTGAACCTGTGTGACTGTACAACTCTCAATATGTCTTACAAGTCTGGTTATATCGAGTCCTCTAACGGCCCTCGCCGCGAGAACTCGAAGTCGAGAGTCGAAGACTCTCGACGTGTGTATCGTCCTATTGAACCTGTACCCTATGGGTCTTCATCACTCTGCTCTCCCCCCAGTACTCTACATACGACGTCCCATCACGATCATGGTGATCGTGAACACTATGAGGCCCACTTACCCGCGATGCCGGCACGTTCGCTACGCGAACGCCAAGTAGCCGCCCATCCACCGTCTGTTTCTTCCTTTGCCAATCATCATATGTCCCCACCAACGGTACGTTCCCTTTGGGAACGCCAAGTCACCGAAGGCCCTAATAGTCAGCCCTCATTGCACGCCTACGATATCAACCCGCTACCGGTACGTTCGCACTGCGAACGCCAAGTACCCGATGGCAACTACGCGAAGCTCTCACCCATCTCACCGGTCGCGACCCCGCACACGGTACGCTCCATTGAGGAGCGCCAAGTATCCGTGGCTGACCCATCTGTCCTGATATCTCCGACTATCAATCATCAATCCCTTAATAGCTCACTACATCACCCATCGCGATCAATGGGAATTCGATCGTCCACTCCCAGGTCAGACTGGGACCACTCATCGATTACACTTCCAGTTATGGTACAAACTAGACATGACTCTCGTCTTCCCACTATAAGAACGGATCGAGGAATGGGGAATTTCCCCCATCCCCGTAACATAGAGACTTCCTGCTCACCTACTGTGAAATTAAGGACCAAATGGACAAACAGCAATGGCACAGCGCTCCGCTTGAGTCGCTGAGGCCAAGGTCCCTCCACGCTAAGTCTCTGATTCCACTCCGGAGTCGTCTGTATCAGCCCCGTTCTAACACCCATGGTTATGTTCTCTTCTATCATTTTTTGAAGTCCATATATGGAGGCATGGCCAAAACGTCGGTGGAGCTCGAGCCAAGATATGGGTGGTGGTTGGGATGCTGCATTTGCTGATTCTCCCGGTATAATGGCCTTGGCATTCACAAGGTATACTTGTCGGATTCGCTTTCCAACTGCTTTGGGTTTGCCATCCTTGTGTCGGATGGTGACTTCTCCATCGCCGAAGTCTACTGATCCCCCTTGTGAATCGATTCGGCCAACAGCCAGCAGGCAGTTAAGTGCATCGGGTGCATAAATGACATCTTGGAGGGTTATGGTGCTCGGCTTTCCATTGATTTCTGCCTGCAGCTTAACTGTCCCTCATCCGAGTGCTTGTCCGACCATTCCTTCTCCAAAACCCTTAATACTCGAGAGCTCTGGCCTGAAATCCACGAACATGTCCCGTCTCATTGCAATATGGGAGGAGCAGCCTGAATCTGCAAGCCAGTCCTCCTTTGCGAAGAGTGGGTCAAAACGTGGAATCCTCACTTGCCATGCCACATCCTCCTCAGCATCCCAATCTTCCTCCTGCACTCATGCTGTCGTTGTTCTCCTCTTATTCACCCATCTCGGACCTTGTCCTTCTTTCCCTCCACCTCTCGACCAGCAATCTTCCTTCCTATGTCCTATTTTGTTACAGTTCTGACATGGTGGACGGGTTCCATATGATGGTTCATTTGGGGTAGGTGCTCTTTTGTTATTGTTGAATGTACGTGTTTGATTCGCCACTTTGACTTCCTTTTCCTTTATCTCTAGTCGCTTAGCCTCATCAACTATGAGCTCGATCAGTTCGTGTGACGTGATCTTCACTTGCCCTTTGTTCCCAAAGTATGACCTTGTAAAGGAATCCCAGGAGTCCGGTAATGAGGCCGAGATCAGGATAGTAAACATTTCGTCAGGGATGGGAGAGCTGAGTGTATTGAGTGTGTTTCTGTGAGTGTGCATCTTACTGATGTGATTTGTTATTGAGTCCCCATCATTAGCATAGGTTTGGAATAATGTCCGATAGGCATTTACAATCCCATGGATTCCTTTGGGTTCTGTTAGAACCAGGCGGATTTGGACAACTCCGGAGTGGAATCGGAGACTTAGCATGGAAGGACCTCGGCCTCAGCGACTCAGGCGGAGCGCTGTGCCATTGCTGGTTGTCCTAGGGGTCCCTAATTTCGGATCTAGCAGAGGGAAAGTCTCTTGGGGGGAATTCATGTCGATTTCGGACTGAGGTTACAAGTTACTATGTACATTGTATATAAGGAGGGGTCCGGAATCAAAAGGAGCGAGGGTAGGGCGAAAGGAGACAAAGGGAGATGGAAAGAGGAACAACACTGAGGGTCAAGGGTTTGACTCAATGGTGTTTCTCAAAGGAGGAATGAAGGGCCAAGGCCCAAGGAGGAAGGAAGGAGGTTGGGAGTGGGGAATGGCTAGCTGACTGAATAGAAAGGAAGCACAGCCCAAATAGGAATGAGGGAGAATAGCGGAATTGAATAGGACAATGCAATAGTTGCAAGGTCCGAGGTAAGTCCGGAAAGTCCGAACTCGGAAGTTAAACTCCGGAATATTGGCAAACGTAATTAAATGGAATGAGCTAACCAATACAATGGGTATAAGCGGAGGTGGGGTCAAAGTCCGAGGTCGGAGCTAAGACCGGAGGTTCCGGAGACGGAGACGGAAACGGGATTCCGGAGTGGAGGTCCGGAGTCAGGAGCATAGGTTTTGTGTACTTGTCTGGAAGGTGTCGAGGTTGGGGTCGGAACCGGAATGTTCCGGAGTCGGACCAAAGGTGGTGTCCAAGCCGGAGGTGGGATAACCTCTTGGGAGTCGGCAAGGAGAAGGTGACGGGAGGGAAGTAGGGCTCCAGAAGTCGGAGTTCGGAGTTCCGGGAGCCCGGAGCAGAGGTCGGAATTGTATGGATATGACAGGTTCTTTGACCCCGCATAATTGGCTCCACATGTCAGCTGCTGTGGTTGCCCCGTAGGTGTGCGCTAGTTCGGAGGGAGTATGTATTGCCAGTACTAGTAGAGCTTTAGACTCTTCATCTCGCTCTTGAAATTCATCTATGGCTGTTTGCTCTGCTGTCGTGACCTTGTCCGAGTCCTTTGGTTCTGGTTCTTTGGTTTTTCCATCCAGCCATTTTATCAGACCTGCCAGTTGGAACATTGCTCTGGTTTTATATTTCCATTCTTCCCAGTTTGAGTCCGTGAGCCCCTCTAGTTTGGCAAAGGCAGATAGATATTGAGAACTCGGCATTATGTGTTGTTTTCCAGCCTTAGAGCCTCTGGGCTCATAACCTGTTAGATTATGAGTATCCCAGCGAAGATAATTAGTATCAGTTGCATCTGTCAACTATATCTACATGTGATCTACATGTGATAATATAGTCCTGCCGGCTTACACAGTTCTAACATATGGAATGTTGGATAGTGATATAATGAGCATTGGGAGCATCAGCGGATATGTAGTGTGTGTTGGTGGGTAAATTCTGCAGAATCCGACTTTTTGCGGTGCATGGAGTTGTCCCCACAACAATGTGTCATATCCATCCATGACCATCTGTCAGGGCATACCTGTCAGAGACCAGATTCGAGACGAGGGAGTGTCTCCGTAGCGGAGGGCTTTGGCCTCAGCGACTTCTGCCAAGAGTGCTGTGCCTAGTGACACGTCCGTGCCCTAACTTACTGACTGGCAATCAGAACCGAAGGGGGGTAACTCTAGTTGATTTTATTACTGGAGTGTAACCTATGTACAAGTGGGATATATATATGGTTACAGCGAAGATGGGTCCGCAATTGGTGGAGCCAAATGGAGCAGAGCTAATGGGGTTAAAGCGTTAGCTGACTGAATATTACCGATGAGTCAGGTCGCAGGGTTAGCGGTAAGGCAGGCGATAACCCAGAAACGGAAAGGAGGGATAGGCCCAAAGATGGGCTCTGCAGGGCAGGTGAGTGTATTGCCCAGCAGAGGCAGGAGTGCGCTAGCGGACGTCGGAGCTGTCCGGAAGTCTTCGGGGCTCCATACTTAGGGAGGTGTAGGTAATAAATTGAAATGAGGGGGTGGTGACCATCGAGGGGTACCGAGAGGATTGCGGAATATGGGAGCTCCAAGGTTATTGATGAAGGAGCGGAGTTAGACCGGAGGGAATGGAGGGACCGGAAGTCAATGGCCGGGGATGGATATGACAATACCCCACCTGACCCTGCACTGCACCCTGCGCTGTGCTGCCCTACTCCGCTTCCCCCACCATCACTCCCCACTCCCCCACTCCCTTCTTTCCTCTCTCTTCCTTTCTATTCCTATTCTATGGTCAATTTCCACTTTCTCTATGTACCACACCCTAAGGCCACCACCACTATTGCTGCACCCACTGCATGCATCCCCACCTACACAGCGGCCACCCTCAGGATCTCCTGCAGAGACACCCAGAGTGGTGCAGCTGTATGCAGAGATGACATGGCCCCTTTCACATGACCCTAGCCACGTGTATATAATAGCACCTGGGGTGGGAACAGAAGAAGCAGCCTTCTTCTCACTTTCCCACTTCAGACTAAGTGGTCGGGGATGCTCGCCCCATGATGGGACCGCTGCTACGCATAGCTGCTACTTGTCAGGGACAGCTCTGAAAGCGGCAAGGTCCCTGCATGCGGGACTTGGTGGGACGAATAGCGGCTGTGCGTAGCAGCGATCCTGTCATGGGGTGAGTGTCCCCAACCACTTAGTCTGAAGTGGGAAGTTGAGAAGAAGGCTGCTTCTTCTGTTCCCACCCCAGGCACTATTATATACATCCAGCTAGGGTCACGTGGAGGAAGCCATGTCATCTCCACACACAGCTGCACCTCCCTGGGTGTCTCCATGGGAGATCCCGGAGGTGGCCACTCAGTAGGCGGGAGTGTGCGTGGCACGTGCAGCGACTAGGGGGGGGGGGGGCAGGGTTAAGTATGTAGTGGTAATGGAGAAGGGGAAATCGACCGTAGAATAGAAATAGAGAGAAAGGGGGGCCATAGAGGAGGGGAGATGGGGAGTGGTAGCAGAGTAGTGCAGTACAGCATGGGGCACAGTGTGGGGTCAGGCGGGTGTGCCCTGACACTACTCATCCCATCGAGTCCCCCATGCTGGGACTTTGCCGCTTTTGGAGCTGTCCCTGACAAGATCACCCTCCACCACCTCCAGTACTTCTGGATTACCTCTGCTCCTTTGTCACTAACCTCAGAGCCTCCATATTCCACAATCCCCTCCAACACCCCCAATGGTCATCACCCCTTCAATTCTATATTACCTACACCTCCCTAAGTATGGAGCCCTGAAGGCCTCTGGGCAGCTCCAACATCTGCTAGCACACCCCCACCTCTGCTGGGCAATTTAGTTGCCTGCCCTGCAAGTCTACCTTTGGGCTGATCCCTCCTTTCTGTTCCTGGGTTATAGCCCATCACTCTGCTAACCCCCAGTAATATTCAGTCAGCTAACCTATAACCTCATTAGCTCTGCTCTGCTCAGTCCTGCCATTCACAGGCCCACCCTCTGTTAGATACAGCAGATTCAGACGACTCTGGAATGGAATTGGAGACTTAGCATGGAAGGACCTTGGCCTCAGTGACTCATGTGGAGCACTGTGCCATTGCTGGTTGTCCTGGGGGTCCCTAATTTCGGATCTAGCAGAGGGGAAGTCTCTTAGGGGGGAATCAAGTTGATTTCGGACTGAGGTTACAAGTTACTAGGTACATTGTGTATAAGGAGGGGTCCAGAATCAAAAGGAACAAGGGTAGGCTGGAAGGAGGAACAACACCGAGGGTCCAGGGTTTGACTCAATGGTGTTTCCCAATGGAGGAGTGAAGGGCCAAGGCCCAAGGAGGAAGGAAGGAGGATGGGAGTGGGGAATGGCTGACTGACTGAATAGAAAGGAAGCAGCAGCCCAAATAGGAATGAGGGAGAATAGCAGAAATGAATAGGACAATGCAATAGTTGCAAGGTCTGAAGTAAGTCCAGAAAGTCTGAACTTGGAGGCCAAACTCTGGAATATTGGCAAAGGTAAATAAATGGAATGGGCTAACCAATACAATGGGTATAAGCGGAGGTGGGGTCAAAGTCTGAGGTTGGAGCTAAGACCAGAGTTCTGGAGACAGAGATGCAAATGGGATTCCGGAGTGGAGGTCCAGAGTCAGGAGCATATGTGTTGCATGCTCATCTGGAAGGTGTCGAGGTTGAGGTCGGACCTGGAATGTTCCAGAGTCAGACTGAAGGTGGTGTCAGAGCTGGAGGTGGGATAACCTCTTGGGAGTCAACAAGGAGAAAGGTGATGAAGGGAAGCAGGGCTCTGGAGTCAGTTTCAGAGTTCTGGGACCCTGGAGCAGAGGTCGGGATTGTATGGATATGACACCCTCTATATACATAACTTGTAGATAGTGTCATGAACCCACCTGGGGAAGATCTGATCGCTACCCAGGTGGGTGTGTCTGGTGGAGCTCGATGTTCTGGGCCATCCAACAGTGGGTCAGAGACAGGCTGGGGGTGGGGCGGAGCTCCAAGCATGGATGTGTAACTAGGCACAGCACTCCTGGGATAAGTCACTGAGGCCAAAGCCCTCCATTTCGGGGACATCATCCTTTGTCCTGGATCTGGTCTCTGACAGAATGGGGTGAGTGCAGACAATTCCAGAGTGGAACTGGAGACTTAGCAAGGAGGGACCTTGGCCTCAGCAACTCAAGGGGAGCGCTGTGCCATTGCTGTTTGTCCATTTGGTCCTTGATTTCAGAGGCAATGAGTGAGAAGTCTCTAGGGGGCATTTCTAGTCGATTTTAGACTGAGGGTCTAATCGAGTATGTACAAGTGCCTGTATATAATGGGTGTCATATCCATACATACCCGATCCCGACCTGACTTCCAGACCCTCCTCTCCACCACCTCCGGAGTCCTACCTTACCCCCATCCGCTCTGATATCCACCTTTGGACCGAACATCACTCCTCCTCCTCACTCCTCACATCACCTCCTCCCCTTCTGTCCCTCTCCTACCCTACCT